AAAGATGTGTACTGTATTTGATTTGGCACTTAAGGTTTGACTAGCTTTAAGAGTAAAGAAGTCGTGCCAATGCCTCAATCCACTCATTGCCACTTTTCAAACACACTTAATTTTAAGATTAAGCATGCAATAAAAAATCTAGTGGCTGATGATGTTTTTCTGACTTTTATTATTATTCAGGTATACAGTACTTTACTTTTGAGACATATGAATTGCTATATCTTTGTTTTTGTGTATAAATGCGTCAAGAGGTTTAATTCCGTCCAATGTTGTAATAACAAATGACATTAAAATGAACTTGAACTTGTTCTTTTCAGTACCAAGAAGTAAATATCTGAACACAAAATAACAAGCAGTTCTGTTGGCTAACAAGAATCCTAAGTCTCCCAAAGTCCACAGGAATTACCCAGAAATTGGTACAGACGCCATCCTGGACTCTTGGAAGTTAGCAAAAATCTCTCTGCAAATTCAGAATAAGGGAAGATAATTTTTCAAAAGGTCAAAAGCACATTAGACTGGCTCATCATCGAGCAAAAAAGTGTTGGTTCATTAAAATCTCAGCTTTATTACAACTACACAATTATTCCACGAAAAACATGGCTTCCTTTTGCCATAAGGCAAGAAAGTCAATAACAGTTGTAGTTCAGTAGTTCTAATCATCATATTGTAGGTACGCACTGTGTGTCGGCTCCCTTTTGTTAAATGACTGTAACAAATTTGAAGAAGACCTGGATGCACAGTTATTTATCAAAAGCAAAGATGTTCACTTTAGTCATAAGTTGCATGTGTACTGTAGGGTACCACTGGCAAAGTCAGAATATAAAAATGCTGTATATTTGTATTAAATTAAAAATAAATTCTTATTCAGCTATATATACTATAGTTCCATTGCTCATAGGAGAATTAATTATGTGGCACAGCATGTCAGTGTAAATTTAGATTTACATCAATGCTTTGTTCACTTATTTCTATGAATTCTATTATAAAATTATTTGCAACATACCTTTGATTTATGATGAGAGGGTTATCTGTAACGATTATAATTAAGAAGTTTGATCTTTAATTACTGCTGCAGGAACCAAGTCATTAGAGACAAGGAGAGGAAGTTGAAGTTATTAAGCAGTTCTTTCAAAAGTCAATGGACCGAATTAGTTACGATCTATGATGTCACAAAACCCTAGTGGGTATAATTGCAATGACAAACGCCAAACCTTATATTATGCTTATGCACTAAGCGGTTTCAAAAAAGATGTATATTAGCTTTTCTAAAGTTTGCAGGGAAGATACTTTTTTATAACATAACTCTCTGAATGATTCATAGATTCAACAGGACAAGGCTGATTTGATTTTCATTTATATTAAAACTATAAATATAAAGTTATTTGCGAGGCCTTCTAGGCCTATCACTTGGGCTTAAGCCACAAGGAGACACATCAAAATTAGCACACTGATAGTGGGAATCATTGCTGATTAAGTTTACATACTGTCACTAGTTATTTTGTTTCATTTTTAGTATGAAATATTTAATCTGCTAGACAAAGTGGTTGTTAAAGCAATGTGGATTAAAACGTCTATGTTCACTCTGCACATTTCTCTATGTAAAAGTTCTCGATCAAGATTCACGATTCATTTTTTTTAATACGTCATATAAAAGCAATATGAAATTATTTTCTGGGTATGGGTTATTTACATTGTTAAAACATATAAATATAAAAATACAAGAAAAATGTCAAAAGTGCTTGACTATATTAAACTAAGTATTTACAGTGTGTCTAGAAAACCTATTATTAAATAGCTGTATTGTACTTGGCAGAAAAGCACCTTTATGTCTGTTTGTTTTTACCTTATGAGTTGTCATCCCACCAGACCTAGTGTATGTGATGTGCTTATATAATGGATGAGTTAAGTTTTTCTAATTGATTCTAGTTTTTTTCAATATAGCCTCTTCACAAATTGTATTTATATCCTTAACTTCCAATCCAATTATCTTGCTTGCTGTCTTAGTGAATCTTGTTAATTTGGCAAGATTTTCCTTAGTTAATCCATTTAGCCAGAGAACAAAACAAAAAGTAATTACTGATTGAATTACACTTTCATAGAACAAATACAATGAGTCTGTACATTTGAGCTTCCTTAAACAGTAAAGACGTTCATTAACTTTTGCACCAACTTTTTCTTTCACTATATTCAAATCAAATTGGTAAAAATCACCAGGGTTTTCTTTAAGGAACATCTTCTGATGTTTTTCGAAAAACTCAATGTTCAAATATAGGAGTTTTAAAGTAGTCAAAATTTGATTGAGTGCATTTTTATCATTGTGTGGAAACACTGCCACCTAGTTGTTTGTCTTGATGTTATACCCAGCAGATTTGGTGACTAATTTGGATTATTGATCAAAAGAAGTGATCAATACTGAATGTAATGATACTGTAATTTTATACCACCACAAAGTTCAACATTACTCAATACTGTTCACACTCTCTTAAATATGATGAAAACAAACCATATTATCAAAATTTTAATATTGATTGCACTTTATAATGTTTGAAATTTTCATATTATGGTTTGTTTTCATCATGTACTTTTATTTTTGTTGCACTCTTAAGGACAGCCAGGCCTCTGCTTCAAAGACAGTACAATGAAGTTGTTATTATTATCATTATTAGTGAGATACTTTACACATTTGATAATAGAGTGGAACATAATTTACCTTTTGCCAGTATATGTACTGAATGCTGGCTTCATAATTACAAGGCTGTGTCACTGTACTTGCACTAAGTCTGCTGCAATAGTAATCAAGGCTTTAAGTACGGTACAGACCCAGCATAAACATTCTTCTCCTGTATCACCCACTAATGTAACAATTATCCATTGTTAATTGTTACATTAGTAGTGATACAGCTTCAAGTACAGCATACTGTTTAAATAGTTCTTTATCACTTATTTATTAAAAACAAAACTTATGGGATTTTATTTCACATTGAATTTTGTCTATTTTTTCAAGAATGATTTAAGTGTTGTTCAAGAAATAAATGCAACATTACAAAAAACCTATGAAAAACATTATAATATTTTTATTTTATTTGTTTAATTATAGCGCATTTCTTCTCAGAAACAAAGTGCTGTTTTCCACAGGACATTGGGTCCACTTGCTTAAGTTGCAGCAAGCAGACAACCCCATCAGGTCCCAAATAAAACTCATGGGTAGAGAAGCACTGCAGATAAAGTGCATTGCTCAAGGCTAGAAAACCAAAACATTTACGCTGCGCCAAACTACTTCATAGTATGTCGGATGAGAATACAGTATAAAAACAGGAATATATTATTTCTAGACAAAAAGTGCACTAATATGGCAATATACATTACAATTAGAGCATCAAGTTTCCCAATAATCTGCTCTCCACTCAAAAAGCCTTGTTAAGAAACTCGGTTATAGAGCATCAACGTTCTAATTTGCTTAATGGATTTTATTGGAACTCTAAATCTAAAAATAAAACTTTTTAATTTATAAAAAAATATATTTAATTACATATCACAAAAAGGCAACATTTACTAAATAACACTAAAGCAAAACATTCCATATTTCATTGCTTAAAAAGGATTTTTAACTCTGAAAGTATTTTCGAATTCTGTAATGATCTGTGTTTTAAGGATTTCACAGGGTTTATTGAGAAAAAAAAAAATAGCAGTGAAAACCCAATTGTTATAGCTTTGCAATTTAAAAATGAAAACATTTAAGCTTTATAAAACAAATTTACCCAAGATTATTACGAGGACATAAAATAAGAATGAATTTCATATAGATTTTTAAAATGAAAACAAGACTAAAACATTTTGGCAACCCTAGCAACCTCTCGATTTTGTATTGCATTATCATAATTATCTGATTAAAGATAACGTTTTAAGCTGAGAAATAGAGCAATACTGCCCTCTACAGATTAGGCCTACATATTGGTGCACATATTCATACTATCATTGTGACATGCTCTTATTAATAAGCAGACCGAACATTATCAAGGTTAAACATTAGTTACCTTATGGCAGCCAATCACCACATCGAAAGCTCAGAATGCTTACTTTTTTAACATACACAGATGAATGCAGGAAAATGTGAACAACAAACATCATTCATATCGGAGGTGTTTTTCTTGCACATAATCCATAAAAAACGTGAGGTGTTTCCACAAAATTAGACACATCATTTGTGAGTTCAACTTGAGATATTCATCAAAATATGACAGTCAATATTTTCATGAATGTTTTTTCTCAATGTTTTTCAATTTTGATACAAAAATTTGATGATCGGTTATTAAACAACCGGAATTCCATACATCTAAACTTTAAACACTCATCTCTGGAATTATATATCTTGGGAATTAAGTAATTCAAAGACATAATTGATGCTCATTTAGTGTGATCAAACCTCACAAATGCGACATTTTAAAAACGTTTACTTCAACAAACTTGAGTGAAGCAGTCGAGTGGACAGGATTGTTGTTAACTACAGCCTTAGCATCATTGCTGGTTTGCGCTGCTCCTTGCCCAGGGTTCTTCTTGCATGAGCATTTAAAATTGGGGCCTACTGTACTTTAGAAAACCATTGCATCTTTCAGAAATGTAGGGGGTTACTCCAATGCCATACTTGATCATTTCAGCTACTGTAGATGTGGAATATGTGAACATGAAGCTACATTAGTCTCGGACCACATCCATATGCAATTCAACACGACGATGCTGCGAATTATGGGTTATTAACCTACCTTTACCCCCATCAATAACATTACAATTTCACTTTGAAAAATGTTGATAAAATGATTCAAAGGCATTTTGAATTTAACACGAATGGCTGGCTAATGATACATGGGTTTTTTATATTTCAAGGTGTATATAAATTATGTATATTTTATGACAGCATCTGCAAATTATGAATACATTTTTTGTCGACTTTAACGATTTTTTTGCCTGATATCTGAAGTGTTCAATACGGAATGTTAACTTACATGACAGCACCATTGATGAATGGCATAAATGAGATGTTCCTAGTGGTCCCATGTTGCAGCATTTGACGGCATGGAGGGCTGAAAAAAAAAGAAAAAAACAAGATGAGTTAAGGCCACTTTTTGATCAGTATTAACAATAATATGTCATAGTGGTACTCAAAAAGGGTACAATAACCTGATTCCTTAACATTTCTATTTTTTGGACTATTTAGATATGGTTTAGAATAGACTGTGAATTGGTTTGGTATAACTCTAGTCTTCCTTTCTGAATTTTCTTAGCATGTAGAGATTATACACTATATAAATCACATACTGTTGTCGTATCTTATCTTGTCATATTCTGACTATGTCATTTTTGTGGGTAGATTCTTGGCAAACATGTCTACCGATATATAAAAAATCCACAGAAAAAGAAAAAAAATGGGTGCCAGTGTTTTTATTTCACAATGGCTTCAATTTTGAATTTTAAAATTACTTCTACGAGATTTACATTCTGGAGATAAAGACTAGCACATCTCGCAAAAGTGATGTGGTGGCATTCTAATTTAACACCTCAGACTTTATGTTCAAATTTGAAAAATATGGGTGTTTCCAAGTAAATACCTCAAACCATATGTTCAATTAAATGTTGTTTGAAGCAGATACCATGTCTGTTTCTTGAATTTTGTCCTTTTGACCCACAAATTTCCACTCTCAAACATGTGGTCTTCTACAAACTATTTTTAAGTCCATATCTTTTGTTGCTACAGTACGATCATGGAGGTTTACCTCCATGGTAGGATACATTGTTGAATTTTGTCAAGGATAGTTACTTTAACATTTAGAGTTAACACTAACTGCAGGGTGCAAACACTGAAACTGGTAGTTTGTTTTAGTTCTGGTGGTAACTGGTAGTGCTACAGTAGTGGCCTGTTGTTTGTTGGTTCTGGTGTGTAAGGACTCTGAAATTAGGAATATAATAGGAGTTTAAGATGTGTAGCATTTGTTGAGATGTTCCATTGCTTGACAGATCAGTTCCATTAATTGACAGATCTTTCCTTCTGCAGATCTGTAATGGACAGTGTAGTAGAAACCACTAACTGAATGGTGTCCACAAAGATTTGGCCTGGTTCCAATCTGTCTTTGATGATGTGAGATTATTATGTACCAATTATAGAAAAAAAACCACTCAGCCCTTAATACTTTCCCTAATGTCACCTTGTCTTCAAGAAAACAAAAACTCTCAGATCTCTCTTCCCTTGAAAATTGCTTAGTCAACAGGAAACTAAAGATAAAGTCCAACGCCACGAAATGTTGGCATCATATTGGACCATATCCACACACTTCATCAACACATCAAGGCAATAACTATTAAAGCACGGTCTCATGTAAATCCTTTTAAAGTTAGCTGGGACTGAATGGGAAGAAAGAGTGGCTGTAGCTCTGATGCACATTGTACAATGCTTCACAGTTACAGTTTTAATTCACAAACGTTTGTTCTGAAAGATGATATAAGAGTTGTGAGAGAATGATGATGGCAAAACCAGTTTGACATACTGTACTATTCCTGCAAACATGAGAGGAAACATCAATACAATTAAACTCGCTAATAAAAACGATAAACCATGGTACCTTACCAAAAGGCATGCTGAAACCTACCTAGGCATATAGGTTGGCAGATCAGACAAACTAGGCTTAGCCCAACTAGCCTTCAATTAAATAAAATTATACACACTGCTTTTGGTTCAATGTCGTAATAACGTATGTACGAAAGTGCATTCTTCAAGCCTATAGGTTCATCGATCCATGGAAGAAAGACTACTGTACGTATCCAACTACTCAATATTGTTGGAATATAATAATATATTGCCTATGTCTTCAATTTTTTTCTCTCTACAGAGGCCTGAAGAATGAGATAAAATATTACCTGATCTTTTTCAAGAGGAGAAAAACCTTGAATTTTGAAGAAATTAAAGGTCATTAAAAGACACCTCAGCCCATTTCCGGCCATCTAGGAATCAAAGTTTTCCTGTGGGAGGTCGCCAGGACGCTCTTTTATTTTGGGGGGGTTTTTTTTTTTAGGCATTTTGAACCACCCTCTTTCAAATCTTGGATCCGCCCCTGCATATGCTACAAAAGCTCTGAAATTGCTGCCACAGCATCCTAAACTAACAATCCTAAAGGTCTAAGCAATGAACCTTTACATTAAGCAGTTTGTTGACTGCCCTTTCAGTATTAGCCCAAAAGGTTGTAAACTTGGAAAAAGGGTTACCTCAATAGATTTGTGTAGATTGTACAAAGCACTTCTTTCACAAGATTGGTGCAGGATCCCCACTAAACTGAGAGGAACTGCAACAAGCAAATCCTCCATGACATTAATGAGTGTGAAATCTCCAAGTACAAAGGAGGTGTCCCTGGTTTGTTTGACCTGACTGATGAGAGCATCAGCTGCCTAAAGAGGATCTCTCCGAGGATCTCTGGAAGTAACAAATGATTGAACAAGAGTTTGATCAACACCAATTTGTATGGACTGTGCTGCTGTTTCCCATAAACCCTCCATTTGTGGAAGTAGTGCCACAGTTCTGGAGACGTTTTTTTGAGAAGTATGATTTTTGTTTTGTTTTATGTAATCAAGCCTAGGAAATAAAGTACTGTACAGTACTTTCAAAGCTGCTCCAGTGGTAGATGTACGGTTAAAATTTGTGGCCATTTTGAATTTCAAAATGGAGTCTTAAAATGTGCATGAAATATTTGGCACTTACTTTTTTCTAAATCAGCAGTGTCTTTAGAGTAGTTTACACATAATTGTCAAGAATCTACCCAAAATATTCCTTTTTTCTACGTAAGACAACAGACTACACATTGCAATATCAATTTCAAGTCAATTTCAATTCTGTCTTTTCATAACATCATTGAACACTAAAATATAAAAATAAGAAGACCCAGAAAAGCAAACTTTTAATGCACTGGCCCCAGAAGATTATACATTTACTTCAACAAACAGTAAAGATAAATCAAATTGGCATTTAAAAAAAAAAAACAAGAAAAATGAAAAAGTAAAAATGAAGACTTAAAGACTGAAAAATATAAGATTTATGCATTTTTTTCTATTCTATGTATTTTCTAATAGATATGTGGTTCCATTTCACAAAAAATCGTCCTGTATAATGAATCAAGGGGCATTTTTGGGTAGAAGCTAGGATCCACTTGATTTAGGGTATTTTGAGCATGTTGTTTACGAATTTGGTGGATTCTAAGATGAATTCGCTTGTCTAAGGGCCTAACTTGCTTATTCAAAATGGCAGCCATGCAAACATAGCTTAAAAACAATTTTAGGTTTGAAAAGGGATCAAATTGATGGTAATGGCTTGTTTAGAATTCTTTATAGGCTAATAATTCACATAAATGCTATTTTTATCATTTAATGAATTTATTTAAAATTGAAATTTGCATATCTAAAATGGTCTAAAACAGCTTTCACAACTTAAAAAGGACGGGACTAACATAGGCCTACATTCCTTTTCTGCTATTTCATAATTACCATATTTAAGAGCTAATTTGCATATACAAAAAGTTAATACTTTCACCAAAATCCATAGTGAAAAAGTAAAGAAAGAAATAGGATAGGCAATCATTTGAAGTAGTAAAATGCAAACAAAGGTTTTTTTCCCCTTTTTATAAACAGGTATGATATGTAGGTCCTGGGCTCGAATCCCAATGGGGACTTACGCTTTCTTAAATACTTATTATCATCTTTAATAATTACCAGTGGAGGTGTCTCTATATACCGAAGATACTATCAGTAAAAAAGAAAGCAACCTACTGCGATTTGAGGTTGCTGAAGATATGGGAATATTACCTTATATTTTCACCTCTGATTTTCATATTTAAGTTATTTTTCACACGATTAGGGAATGACCGATACATGAATTCTGGAATTACTGTACATTCTTCATTTCCATTTAAAAAAACAAATTCTTTGTTTGCAATTTGTTCCACATTTGTCTATGTTAAAGCTAGCACATCACAATAAACTTTTATGCCAGCAGATATTTTTAATTGCAAATTTGATTTCAATGGATCAACTTGCTAAAATAAGCAACTATAGCCCCTCTCCCACTAGGGATTTTTTCAGCATAGGAGTTACTGAGTTTGCTGAGTTGCTAAGTCGGAGAACTCGGCAAAAACACGCAGGGCGCTTCGGGAAGCTTGGGGAGAACTCGTACCTACTTGTAGCAGCTCTGAACTCGAGGCGCTAATTTTGAACGTTTTGATTGTTCAAAATTAGCGCTACGAGTTGACAACTCGTAGTAAACTTAAGGACTTGTAGGTAACTCATAGAGTACTGTACTCGGGGTACTCCTACCTAACTCGCACACTATTCGGGAACTCGTCGGAGGTTTTGTCACCCACAAGTTTGATGCGAGCAACCCAAAATGAGTTCGAGTTAAGTATAAGCGCACCGAGTTGGCTACGATCACCAGGAGCAGTTGGTGCAACTTGACTTTGTGATACACGTGGGGTGTCAACACAACACCAATATGTCAGCAAAAAGAAGCAGAACTAAGAACATATCGAACAAAATGAAGCAGAGAGGTACCAGATGCCTCTGACACTGATACGCAACTTGTGGTGGAGGCAGATGTTCATCAGGAAGATACTAGTTACATACAGGAGGACCTCAATGTTCAGGACGAAGAGCACAGTATGAATTAAGACAATGATGAAACTGGCTCGAGCCCTAGGAGCCCTAGCCCTCCGCCTTCAGCTGCAGATACCTCATCAGAGAATAGACCTAAAGATTAAAAAAAAAAGAAAAGAGGGAGTGGGCTTATGCATTCACCGAAGAGGAAGAGGCGGCCATCGGTGAACGGTTGGTGCAACTTGACTTTGTGATACACGTGGGGTGTCAAAACAACACCAATATGTCAGCAAAAAGAAGCAGAACTAAGAACATATCGAACAAAATGAAGCAGAGAGGTACCAGATGCCTCTGACACTGATACGCAACTTGTGGTGGAGGCAGATGTTCATCAGAGAATAGACCTAAAGATTAAAAAAAAAAAAAAAAAAAAAAATGGGCTTATGCATTCACCGAAGAGGAAGAGGCGGCCATCGGTGAACGGTACTGTGACAATCTGTGTTTGTATAACAAATGACAGAGACTTCAAAAATGCTGACAAAAGGTGCAGTAATGCTGACAAAAAGTGCGTCTTAAGGAAGAGAAAGCCAATTCATTTGATCCTCCATGCACTTGTTGTAAGTTTGAAATTTCGTTTCATAATCTTTAGAACAAAGTGTCCGCTTATAATTTTTGGTGATAGGACAGTATGTTTATTATAGTACAAAAATAATGTTTTATATATTTAATTATAGGTGGACATAACTGTCTGCAACTAGATATATATGACTGATTTAAAGTTCTAGACTTGTTTAAAATTTTCTTTTATTAATATAGTGGCCTAATAGTTTATAAACTAGGCCGAAATATAAAGGACTGTAGACAAATTAAAATCCCTACAGACGGTATAAATAAAACTTTAATTCAATATTTTAGTTGGTATTGCACTCACAAGCTCTTTGTGTGTAGGTCTAACCGTTAAATATACGTATACATGCATCCATGAAATAATTGTTGGCCTACAATAATGTACAATATGATGCAAATTGTTGACATAATTTTGGGTTTTTTTTTCAAACAGTTGAAAATGTTTTTAGATTCCATGAGGTCACAGGTGGGCAAGATCACCAAACGAAAGTCTGGCCAAGGGTCACAACGGATGTCGGACCATGATGCATGGGTAGTTCATACCTTCGGCTTTCTGGAAACACACATTTTCATAAAGTGTGCTTTAAAATGCAATGCGTAAATAACATACTGTTAAGGTTGTTAACAGTATGTTAAAGGTTAGGTTTTACAAATGCCCAGAAATAGTGCAATTTTTTAATTCACTGACATAAG